AACACCTGAGGAGGAGGGAAGAAACCCAGCAAAGATTCTCAGGAGCAAACTGAGCAGGAGCCACAGAAGGAGGAGAACCAGTGTGGGGCTCTCTCAGGCTCAGTGGCCTCTCCCCCCCACAGCCCATTGATGCAGCCCCGAAAGTGCCCGTTGAGAGCCACCTGTGCCTGGCAGGAGCTGCAGGAGCACGGCCTGTCCCTGCCCAGCTCTGGCTGAGGTGGAGCAGAGCAGCCACCCCGGCGTGCATGCAGCCTGCAGGGACACAAGCCTGCGAGCCAGCTCCCGGAGAGGGGACAGTACCGCGAGGACAGCCATGGAGAAGATGGCCAGGGTCACCACGGCCCTGGGGGGCAACGCCCTGACAGGACGCACCATGTTCTGCCACCTGGACGCCCCTGCCAACGCCATCAGCGTGTGCCGCGACGCTGCCCAGGTGGTGGTGGCAGGGCGCAACATCTTCAAGATCTACTCCATCGAGGAGGACCAGTTTGTGGAGAAGCTGAACCTGCGCGTGGGCCGCAAGCCCTCGCTGAACTTCAGCTGTGCCGACGTGGTGTGGCACCAGATGGACGAGAACCTGCTGGCCACGGCAGCCACCAACGGCGTGGTGGTCACCTGGAACCTGGGCAAGCCGTCCCGCAACAAGCAGGACCAGCTGTTCACGGAGCACAAGCGCACGGTGAACAAGGTGTGCTTCCACCCCACCGAGGTGTACATGCTGCTCAGCGGCTCCCAGGATGGCTACATGAAGTGCTTCGACCTGCGCAAGAAGGACTCTGTCAGCACCTTCTCCGGTATGAACGTGGCTCTTGTTGTCCCATCCCCTGGGGGGCAGAGGCTGGGGGCTTTGCCCTGCCCCGGGTTGTCCTCTTTGCCCTTTCCTTGCTCATCCTCTCACCCTGGAGGAGGCATTGTTGGGGGATTTGCCCTTTCCTTGTCCTCTCACCCTGAGAAGAGGGCAGAGGTTGGGGGATTTGCCCTTTCTTGTTCCCGCAGCCTTGGGGGAGGCAGAGCTTGGGGGCTTTGCCCTTTCCTCATGCCCAGGAGGAAGGTTTGCTCGGGGTGTGATGCCTGGAGCAGGGCAGGAGAGAGCTGAGAGGTGTTGGTTGTTTATTTCACCCCCCTCCGTGCGCTGGGTCCGTGAGGGATGACCACGTCGCTCCCTGCTGTGCCAGCGACCCCCATGGCTCTGCCAGGGCTACGTTTGGTCTGAGTGGAGCTCAGTCCCACTGGGTGTGCCCCTTGTCCCCTGCCAGGCCAGTCAGAGAGTGTGCGAGATGTGCAGTTCAGCATCAGGGACTACTTCACCTTCGCCGCCACCTTCGAGAATGGCAACGTGCAGCTGTGGGACATCCGCCGGCCCGACCGCTACGAGAGGATGTTCACGGCCCACAACGGGCCTGTCTTCTGCTGTGACTGGCACCCCGAGGACAGGTGAGTGAGGACAGGCCCTGGCAGCCACCTGCCCCACAGGAACAGGGGAGGCCCTAAAGGTGCACCCCAGAGCAGTGCAGAGTCTTTGGTCGTCTGTGCTTGGTCACATTTCTCTCCTGCCTTTCCCAGGGCATGGTTGGGATGGGTCTGGACTCAACTGTTGTGGTGTGCAGATCCCTCCTCATGCCCTGCCAGTGCTGTGACTCCCTATGAGCTTAGAGAGGCACTGAAATATGTTCAAACTAGTCTTCGTCCTCTCTGCTGTGCCTGGCAAGTGGAAACCAGAGGCAGAGGGAACTGGTCTGACTGGGAGTGTGGCCCTAAAGGTACAGACCCTGGTGTGGGGGCAGGCAGGAGGGTGTTGCCTGACCTGGTTGTTGGAGAGGGACTCTTTGTTAGTGTCCTGGTTTTAGCCAGGATGGAGTTAATTTTCTCAGTAGCTAGTGTAGTGCAGTGTTTGGATTCAGGGTGATAATACTGTTGATAATACACTGATGTTTTGGTTTCGCTAAGTTGTGTTTATCCTAAATCAAGGAGGTTTTCTTTCTTGTGTCTTACACTCTGCCAATGAGAAGATTGGGAGGGAGGGAGCATAGCTGGGACAGGTGACCTGAACTAGCCAAAGGGATATTCCACCCCATGGCATGTCATGCCATGGAATGGAACTGGAGTGACAGGACAAGGAGCAATGGGGATAAATTGAAAGAGGGAAATTGAGGTTAGATATAGAAGTTTTCCCTGTGAGGGTGGTGAGGCACTGGCACAGGTTGCCCAGGGAGGCTGGTGCTGCCCCAACCCTGGCAGTGTTCACAGCCAGGTTGGATGAGCCTTGAGCAACCTGCTCTGGTGGGAGGTGTCCCTGCCCAGGGCAGGGGCTGGGGCTGGAGGATCTCTGAGCTCCATTCCACCCCATAACACACTGTGACATCTGATGGTGGAGGAGTCAGGGGAGCACACGGGAGGATGTGATTGCAGCCCAACTGCCTCTCCATGGCATGAGCTGTGCTGTGAGTGTTCCTGTGCCGGGCTGGGAGGGGTGAAGGGAAACATGCCCAGGCTGCCCCGTGTGTCCACCCTTCTCCCAGGGGCTGGCTGGCCACGGGGGGCCGGGACAAGATGGTGAAGGTGTGGGACATGAACACGACGCGCGCGAAGGAGATCTACTGCGTGCAGACCATCGCGTCGGTGGCGCGCGTGAAGTGGCGCCCTGAGTGCAAGCACCACATCGCCACCTGCTCCATGATGGTGGACCACAACATCTACGTGTGGGACGTGCGCCGCCCCTTCATCCCCTCCGCCATGTTCGAGGAGCACAAGGATGTCACCACCGGCATCGTCTGGCGCCACCTGCACGACCCCTACTTCCTGCTCTCGGGCTCCAAGGACAGCACGCTGTACCAGCACATCTTCAAGGACGCCAGCCAGCCCATCGACCGCGCCAACCCCGAGGGGCTGTGCTACAGCCTCTACGGCGACCTGGCCTTCGCCGCCAAGGAGAGCCTCGTCTGCTCCGACTCCAACCGCAAGCCCTACGG